CGGTAATCTCAGTGGATACATTGCAGTCATCAAATATGGAAAAGCTGCAAATAAAGTCTAAAACAAAAAATTAAATTAAATTAAAATAAAACAAACTGCAGTCATGAATAAGGTGTTTTTTATTTTTTATATATTTTTCAGTTCATCAGCAGCCGCTTGTGAGCTTGACTCATCATCAAGCAACAATTAAATAATGAATTTTTCTGCCGTGATTGTTTTGTTATTTAAATCATTTATTAGGAAGGATGATCAAATGAAAAAACTAAACACATAAATAATTTCCACACTGGAGTTTGGAACAGCGGGTCAGAAACTCGCGCTGGAACGCAGTCTTTTTACGCAAGAGATAGTGAGTAAAGCAAACTGTTTAGGTAATTTAGTTAACAACAAACTTTATTTTGAGGAGGGAAACAAAGAAAATGACACATTTCCTCGTCTGGTAGCATTTTATCCAAAGCGACCTGAATCTCTCAGCGCAGACAGCTGCGTTTGGAGAGCAACAATAATGACAAACTCCATGCAATTATTTGTTTACCCTGACAGGAAAGTTATCTGCTCTGGGTCAGGTGAGCATTTGGCCCTGACCTGTAAAGGACTATGGGCTGTTTTTTCCCCCCTCCACAACCCGTCAGCGTGGATCTGGGAGGTCATGGTTGTGCAAAGGTTTGGGCCAGATGTRGCACAAAATACAAAATTCTTATTTAATTTTTAGGCTGCTTTGGTCGACACATAGATGGGATCAGAGTCAAAACGTTTTCGTCAGGTGTCAGGCAGGTTTGTGATCAGCTCGATTCAGAGCTGGCACATGTGCGTAAACMCTCGACTGTGCGCACCGCGCCTCTTTGAAAAACTTTATTCCGGCGTCGGTGATGTATGCACAGTGTGTTTGACTGCAGTGAATAAGTGTGCAGTGAGTTAGTGGGCAGTAAGTTTTTGTCTGGTGAGTATGTGAGCAGTGAATTAATGTGCAGTAAGTCCTAAAACAGAATAACTTTTTTTTTCATGACTTCATGATACTTTACAATACTCGTGTCAGTGAATTATCACTGACACTGTTGTCTTTGACTGCTTTAAAGTCCTGCACCTAAGTAATGGACTGATATTTTCTAAAGTTAATCAGCAATCTAAAAAATGGATGGATGGATGGATGGATGGATGGATGGATGGATGGATGGATGGATGGATGGATGGATGGATGGATGGATGGATGGATGGA